TTGTATGTTTGTTATGGTTAAAGATAAAGAGATTTGCCAATAAAAAATAAAAAAATCGAAACCTGTCGTGCAGATTTGATATAAAGAGAAATTTTCGATGGATAAAGTATTAATACAGGCAAGGCACATCACAAGGTAGATAAAAATTTATGCAAAAGTGCTCCCAAAAGTATATATAAGTGTGCATTTAGGCACACTTCTGTTTCATCCATTCACTCGAGACAGTTAAATTTATAAGCAAGTTAAGATGCCAGTAAAGATTTATTCTGATAATTTACGACTTTAAGAAGTAAAAAAGCAAGGAATTCTGACGAATCTACTTATCTCGATCGAGATAATTTTCTTAACATCAATTTCAAAATAACGTATTCGAATCGTTCACTTGTTTAAATGAATATTATTCCTTCAAATCGATTTAATGATTTTTGAAAAATAAACTATTTGGCATTGCTTTGACAGCAGACAAACTATCGCAATATCAACAGTTTTGACATTGTTTATAAACACGGATGGCAATGGTTGGCCAGATTCAGTAAACGAAATTTTAGATTTTGTCTAATAATAAGTGCACGCCTACACGTGATCAATTTTCAAAGTTAATTCTCTCGAATCATTTGTTCGATATCTTTCAAAAATCAAAAAAAAAAAAAAAAAAAAGGAAAAAATCACTTTGAAGAATTCTCATATTCCATATTTAATAATTCTTTAAAATAACAGTAGTCCAACAATAAACTCGAGTCGCTTTTGAACGACTTTGAAGCTACACAACACATGGCTCTCAACGTTAACGTAACGCATTAACGATCTTCTTTAAAAACTAAACTCGGGCACATATGTTCCATGCAATATCGCCCACTTTATGCCAGAGACATGAATATGCAGTTCTTGAAAATTTGTATTTTAAATGCAAGAGGATATATTTATTGATATAGAGATTTTTTAGAGATGCTCAACTTTTGTTATGAAATATCAATATATTTAATTGTTGTAATTTTAAATTAACATTAGAAGGAAAGTAGAAGGAAACGATCAGGTTATAAACTACGTGCTGTAGTTTTGTTGTGAATAAAATTTTTTCCTGATAAAAATATGTAACATGCGTTACGCTCAAACTATTTTGAAAGTATTGTATTATTATTATGAGGCAATCTAATAATGAGATTATATACGTATAAATCTTTTTTAACAGAATACAACACTGTGAGAGAGTACAATTTTCAAAACTTTGTAATGATACACGAAGTACAAGTTCAGATTTATATAAAATGTTCACATTTTAGTGCAAAATTGTATTCAAATTGTAAAATAGTTGATTATGTTTCCTCGAGGAAATTTTTCCTCTTTTCTGGGAAAAAAAATCAAATAATTGTGAAAAATCAACATTCTTCAACAACAAGTCTTATCGATTATTGCAAAATTCATTTAAGAACAAATTCAGATCTTGAACATTGAACAAAAAGAGAGATTCGAAGTTTTTTTAATCGTGCCAATATATAAAACGCCGATTTTCTTAAAAATCGAGGGCGAAACAAGCGATAAAATATTTTATTCTATCTATCTTTTGTTATTTTCACGTATAGAGCAATCTCTTATCGATAACATTAGATAATTCGATATGATTCATATTCATGAATTAACTCATTTCGAACAAACAAATTTTATTATTATTTCTTCTCTTAACTCATTGTTGCACGCAGAATCTTAGCCAATTTAAATTGTCCTCGATTCGCGGAACATTCTTTATATATTTACTCGAAGAAAAAAAAATATATATATATATTCGTGCTTTTGACATAGAAAGAAAGATATATCCTAGAATTCACATTCCTTCTCATTTCTTCCCTCCCCCTCCTCCTCATCTCCCGACAACTCGTAATAAAAGTAAGCTAAAAGCCCAAATAAAAAAATTCCATTCCCATAAAATCGACATTAAAAAAAAAAAGAAAAAAGAAAAAAAAAGAATTCTCCTTTATAAGAGGAAAATACCCAGCGATCGGCTTTTCAGTCTTTCTGCTCAACGACTTCTGGGCAACGACCAGCCCCGAATAAAGCCGATCGATGTCGAAAATCTCGATCGTAAATCGCAAATTTAGGAACGTTACTCCACGGTGTAGAACCGCCATTTTATTTTCCCTGCCCTCGCATTATCGTGAAAACGTGATCCTCTCGATCTGGCTATACCGTTATGCGAGAGTGTACTTACATCGAAATGTGTTATTCCGAGGGAAAATATTTTTCACCCACCATCGTCGTATTACACACACGATGATTATTGCTTTTCACGGAAGCGTTACATCAAATTCGTTTCACATTTTCATTGTTATTTCCATCGAAGTGGGGACGTACTTGTATGGATTGTCGTGCTTCTCTGGATGCTTGCTTCTTTTTAACATCGAAGGTAAAGAATTTTTTAAAATGAGAATTTGAAATTGTTAATAATTTTTCGTTTGTTTGTGAATATTGTAAAAAAAAAAAAGCAAAATTAAACGAAGCTTAAGATAATTTTGCTTTTATTTAAATTATTGGAAGAATCGAATAATATCGATTAAGAAATAAAATAGTTAAGTTAGATGATAAAATAAAAATTTTAATAAAAATCCGCTTCAAATTTAGAAGTAATTCTGACTCTGTCATCTATCATTGTAAATGGTCGAGCATTTCGTGACGCATCAATTATTGTACCCTTCGCGTGTAAAATATTCTATAACGGAGCTGTATATTATATAAAGTTCGTGTAACGAAATATTTAAGCATGTTTGGAAAAAAAGAAAAAATAATAATTTTAGAAGAAATTGTAAATATTCAACTCCGTGATTCGCGAGAAAAGAGTGAAAAGTGTTTCAAAATTTCCATTAAAATAACAAAACACGAGATATCGGATGATACAATCAAATATGAAATAATTTTCTATAACACGTCTGAATAACGATCATGCTCGAATTCGCGGTCGAATAAACGTCTGGCACGCATCGGTATTTGCATACGTATTGGACGAGCGAATCTCTCGCTGTTTTAGCTATTCACACCGATTGAATAATTCACCCTGATACGGTGAATTTGTCGGTCCAAATATACGACTTTACCTCAATTCGCACAACGAAGCTTCTGCACATTACTTTTTTCTTTTTTATCTCTCGCATTATATACATTTTCTCATAATTTAACATCAATGCAATTGATTATTGAAGCTACACGAGTTTCACTCGTCAGATATAATCGACACAATTGGTACGATATTTTATGATAAATTCTCTCGTGAAAATATAAAATTAATAGAGACAAATCATATCTCGTCAAATTACACGTTATTTCGTAATTGAAAGGTAATTATATTAGAATATGTAGGTAGATTGAATAATTAATTTTAACAATGGATAATCGTGTTTTAATTACGATAATTTATTGTATTAATTATTTATTGTAATAACACTCTAATTGCATACGATTCTAAAGTATTGTAAATTATTGTAAAATATTTGTGTTTAAGTCTTTTTAATTCAAAATATGGATGAAATTCTTCTATATCATTAAAATAATTTTCAATGAAGATTTTTCAAATTTTCTTGTCGCCTTTAAATCTCGTTCAAATTGATCAAATTGATACAAGTAACTCGATTTGAAAGTTTCATTCAAATTGTTCAGTCAAAATGAATTAATTTAAAAACATAAATTTCAAAAGACAATCCAAAATGCTCCATTTTTAAAATTACAATTTTTTACTTTAGATCGGTATCGATATATTTATCATAATCATTATTTTTCAATAACTCGTCTGCCAGCTTCTTTGAAGTGGACGCCATGCAAATTGATCGTTCATGACGTGTCATTTTGAAATAAAGAACAGTTGGAAGAACGTCAACTTCGCTTGAAAGAATATTTCAAGTCAAGTCAAACAACAGCTTGGTAAAGTGTTATCAAGTTACTTAAATACAAGTGTCAAATTGATCGATGATTGGGAACAAGCGTAGAAAGGATATTGCAAGTCGTATAAACAACAGGTTTATATTTCTCAAATAGTTTTAAATTACGCGGGTTCAACATCCTCGAATTCAATTTGATTAATCTAAACGAGATTTTAAATTGTATTTACACCAAGCAACTTTCAAGTCAACTCGTCTAACTCGTGCCGTTTATTTTATCCGATTAAAATGCAATATATATGAGTGATTTTGAACTTGTTTCAGAGATTGCTTGTGTAATATACTTGTATATAACTTGGAAGCAAACTTTCTTCTAAGGTAAACAACGTTGTATCTAGATAATAATGTGATGGTTAATATGGTAAATAATTTAAGTTAATATTAACTTCAACTTTGATATATGATAAAATGTACAGGGTGAAATTTTCCTGAAAATTTCAGAATTCTATAATTTGTAAGCAGAAAAAAAAAATTATACGTTAGAAAATATGAATTTTGATTTTAGTACATTGTTTATATAAATGCAACTATAAAATGAAATTAAATTTAAGATTCATTTCATCCATTTTTCATATTATAATTTTTTGCACATTTTGCTTCGGATTTTATGCCTTTTTGCATATTATAAATATGTATTCTGTAGATTTTTGTACATTTGAATTTTCCATAAAACTTGAAACATTGATATCTTCACTATGGTATTTTTTTCTGTTATTTTTATTATAAAAAATTATATTCCTCCTTTAGTCGAAAAAAAAAATAAAGAAAATTCTACGTAAACATCTATTTCTTTTTCCACAACTTTTTGGTAACAATTTGATTAGAAATAGAAAAATAGTTAGAGCCTTTTTATATCGTCATGAAAATTATTTATCGATATAACGATCTTGTTATTCTATTTTTTTCTTCTTCTTCTATATTCTTGCCATTCGATTATACGGCACGATGGCGTGGAAAATGAGCATTGATTCGATCGATCATTTATTTTACATTTATTTCCAATCAACGAAAACCGCATAATATGAAAAAGCTCTTAATCAAAAAAAGAGAAAAAATATTCCGTTTTACATTTTTTCTCACCTGGCTGAACGTGTTAACTCGCATTTCCAAATACTCGTATCCGAAATCATGACATAATTACTCGTTTCTCCATGACAATCATCACTAGAATATATGAGAACGAATCACAATAGGAATGTTGTACGCAAAAGTAATCAAAATCGTGAATCATGTCGCGTTGAACAATCTGTCAGAGATTTTTGTCAGATGCTGTAGCGTGCCCCTCCTATCGATTTTTGGTATAGCATGTAACACCGTTCTTTCAAATATTTCGAAGCGAATACAGTGGCAAGAGAATTCACTGCATTCGATTTTGCAGGACGATCAACTTTTGGTTAAAGTTTCTTAAAACACACAACAAAAAAAAAAAAAAAAGAAAAATCTTGCCATTAATCTCCGCCAACGGAACGAAGAGAGAGTTTCTTTTGATCACAAAGAAACAATTCGAGATTGCACATTAAATCTCTTACGTCGGTTACCGCACATAGAGATCTGCCATTGTTCCATATAATTTCCCTGCAGTCTCATATATCTTTCGCTTAAAGGAGATCTATCTTTACACTCGTCTTTAAAATCGTTTAAATGACTAATTCAAACGAAATCCCATGCCTCGTGCATTTCTCTCGTCGATCATAACCTCAAAAATTCCGGTTATTTTATTCTTTTATAGACACACTGTTCATCTCGTATTTTCGTCCATTCATCACTGTTCATTTGTACAGAAATACTCAAAGGTTTAATCCTTTTTTTTTCTCTCTTCTTCAAAATTACGAACGATTCTCGTTCTTGCGGATAAATATAATTTTACAACTTTATTTTCTCGTACAGCTATTCCCTTTACTACGACGCTATACATAAGAGATCCGAAACCGCTCGCTACGAAAGTCGATTACAATTCTTTCTCCGTTCTCCCGCATTCTTTTCCACTGTTTCTCGAGAGAAATAGCAGGAAGCCAAACATCGAATAGATCGTGTCCTCGTTTCCTTCTATTCCTTTGTCGGGGATAACGAGACAAAACCGAGGCGGTTCTTCTTCCACGATCGTTGACAGCCACGATCGAATCGCTGTGAGGGCGCCACCGTCTCGAAATCACGAAAATGATCGGGATAATCTTTTTTATTATTCTGCTTCGACCAACACCACTTTTTTTTCTTTAATGGAGATTCGTTGTTATTTCATTTTTTTGCTTATCGATCTATTTCATCGATTCGGTTATTTTCTTGAATTATTCTTGAGGAATTATTCAAAAGCAGTAAATTTGAAATTAACAATTTTTTTATGTCTCAATCGTTTTGAAACTATTCTTAAATATAGTTTATTTCCAATTATTTCGAAATTAATAATTTGGACTTAAATGGTTATTTAAAGATGAAAGAAATACCTGAATAATTTCAAAGTTCTTCTCTTCGATTCACATTAGTTAAAAACATAATTTCATTCGGATGAAGCTGATTCCGCGCGATTTATATTTCTTTCTCCGCTTGCGAGGAAACTTTGTTATTTCGCCCAGCAAAAATCAATTCCTTCCATTAATAATTATCCTTCTTGCCACTTTGTCGCCAATGCGGTTTATCAAATTTTAATTAACGCATCGACGCCTGTGACGAAAACCTATACCTTCTTCTTCTTCTTCTTCTTCTTCTTTTCTTCTAAGAAATTGATTTTGACGATAAAATTACATTCAAGTCGTCACTTTATCACTCGTTCGACACGATTCTCTAAATGTCAGATACGTGATACGGAATACTAACGTTGGTTAAACTTCGCCTCGCGCCAGAAAACAGATATTTTCCTCGGAATTAACCGGATTAATATTCACCGTAACTTCTGATGAAACTTGAGTGGATAAATGGGAAAACCAATTTTAATAAACGATTCGTAGAACGGGGATAGTAAGTAGTCGAGTGGTGGAGATAGAGATATTAAAAAATGTCGACGCGTCAATCTGATCTGGACGAGGAGGAGTCAGATATATCATTCGGAGGGCGAGAAGAATAGGCTAAGTTATCCGTAACGAGGAAAAACGCTTTTTCGGGTCAACAGTTTGAGTTAAGAGGATTTTACACTTAATCCTGACACAAGTTCTTTTTTTCTCTGTTCAAACACGCGCGCTCCCAAAAGAGAATGAAGAAGGAGCAAGAAACGACAGTTGCATTATTATCAATTACACCGAAAATTGTATCGAAATTATGAGATCTCGAGGAATAGAATAATTTTTTCGTTAATGAAACGTATCGTTACTTTTTTTACGCAGGTTCAATCTCTTTCCATTCTCCTCTTCTGTTTCTTCCCAATTTTTCAAAATTTTCAAACACACTTCATCTCGCACTTTTCAAGATTCTTCGATTCGCTGTTTCAAGAGTTACTCGAACGAATTTTCGAGCCGATCTTCGCTCGATGTTTACACTTTTCTCCTCTTCTTATCTCATTGCCACCAAATGCTGCGTCTCCAAAATTACGCACTCGCGTCGATATCACTCGTTTCCTTTTTTTTTTATTAGCGCGAATAATACGAACTCTCTTACGATCCCCTTTCTTTCGCTTTTCGTAAAATAAAAAAAAAAAAAAAAATAAACTTTTCACACTCGTCGGGATCGAAGGATCGACATTCGCCAGCGAGAAAAGCGGCAAAGTCGACACGCAACCTCGAAGCGCTTGCAGCGCACTGAGCGCTCCTCCGCCGAAGAGAATGATCCGAGAACAAGAGCGATCCGCGGAAGGAGAGACGAG